ACATTGTAAAGAAACCATCGATATAAACTTACGTCTTCATTTAATAATATGAGACCTAATAAAGGACGAGACATGCTCCATTGGTTTCTACAATCTTCAAACATTATCACATTTAAAACAGTACTTAAAATTTGTTGAAGTATTTCAGGATGCTGTTTTAAAACTTGTAAAAATAATTCTCCTCCTCCAGGAACAACTGCATTTTTCCTTCCTGGATATCCTGAAAACATATATATATAATATTAGTACTATATATGTTTTATAATTTCTTGTATCAATCCTTAACAGTCAAGAATGGTTTCAAAAATCCAGAAGGCATTATTTTTGCGATACTTTTTTTTTTTTTCAAATGTTTTATGATGTTAAATTTTTAGATACCGCGCGCGATCATATAAGTTTTTCTCTAAAGTGGAAACTGGAAAATGAAAATTTATAGGTATATAAACATGTAAACATATAGAAAAATTTCCATTTTTACATTTCCATCCTAGGAAAAAAAGTTACATGATTGACCTCCTGATTGGACAAACTTTGCTAAGCATAAATTTTACCATCATTTTCTAATATTGAAAGTTGTGATTTGTTTCAAATTTTGTCTGAAGAATAATAGAGACATCTGAAGTCCAAACTCTCCGATTAGATAATGCTTTTGCCTGATTAAGAATTAATACAATTTCGTAGAAGACACGCTATATTTTTATTAATAATTGTTAAATTAATGTACCTTTTTGATAAAGTTGTTTAAACAAATACGTCACAATATGATCAAGAGTTGCACAGCAACCGGTACAAACCATAGTATCTGAAATCAGAAGATTTTATTTTTACTTCAGTTTTTATTGTCAAAAAGAAATGAATATATGTATATCCTTAAAATCCCAGCATAATAAAAAATACGTGCAACCAAAATACCAGCATTGCGATCTTATTAATAAAACTTACCTGCTTCTCTGTATAATTTAATACTTTGTAATTTAATAAACACATATAATGTTAATAAAAATTATTACAGAAATCTAAGTAAAGGAAATTTTAAAGATATTCTACATAAATACATAATTATAATATAAATATATTATTCTATACAAAATCACAATTATCGTTATCAACTTAAAAATGTTGCTAACCGCAACTGTATAAAATCT